TCTTTCTCTCTCTCTCTCTCTCTCTCTCTCTCTTTCTCTCTCACAATATCCTCTCCCTCTGGACGATGGTCGCATCCGTTCAGCGTCACATAATGCGACATCACGAAATCTGCTTACCGATTCGCGAATGCTTGAACGTAAGACGCCTTCGGATCTTCAGCTTACAGAGAGAGAGAGAGAGAGAGAGAGAGGGGGGGACCGCGTGGTCCGAGTACCAAGTCTTTGGAAATGCAATCGCTTCCATTTCTGCGAGTATATCTCCGTGCTGCAACTTACAGGATGCGTGCAGGATGGAACAGAATGTGTGGACCAAAAATACATTACGATCACAACACACAGAATGTTGCATGAAATCCGCGCTAAAGTTCAGAATTGTAATTCTTAATTTTAAGCGCGGAATTATATTGGTCGCTTAATTGCTTAAAGTTCAATTAGTCAGTCAAATAAATGAACCGAGCGAAATTGAACGAAAGTTAATCAAATCAATATTGAATTCGATCCAAAATTCATCCGGTAAGCCGCTCTTGCATGTCGCGTCGTGCTGTCGATTAATCGAGCGGAGGATTAAAATTCGCGATGCAGAAGCAGCAGGAAAACTTACGGAAGGCTGAGAATCCTTGGAAGTGGTGCTCGGCCATGGGGTGATGGCTCGGCACACCGTGGAGATGCGGTGGTAGCGTAGGCGGATGTGCGAGCTGCGTCAGGTGTAAAGGATGACCGGGTGCTCTCGGAAAAAATCCGTGCAGGAAGGGCAGCCTTACAGTCGTGAGCACCGAGTCCTTCTCCGCTTCCTTGCCCTCGAACACTTTACTTCTCACGGCATTGTCCGGCGCCTTTTCGAGATCCTTGGAATCTTGCGACGTCTATAACAAAAAGGACAGTTTAATTTCAGTTTCAAAGTCCGTTTATCTTACATTATAAGAGTTCATTTAATTTTCTCAACTTGGAAAATTAACTTTCCAAATTCTTCATAATTTTTCGAAGAACTTTGGGACGAAAAATCGCGGAAAGCGAGGAGGATTGTAGCTATTTATCTTCGGAAGTTGTTGAAAAGTGAATTATTGCCAATATTGCTTTCTTTTATATTAATTGAAAAAATTGGTATAAGAACGTTGTTGTACTAACGTGTAATGTCTTGTGTGTTTCAAGTGAATCAGGGAGCACGTGCGGGGTTTTCTCTGTGATTTCTGGCGAAGAATCTAAACTCTCTCTCGTACAATCTTCGTCCTCGTCGTCCTTCGTTTTCTTGGTCGCCTCTAAATGACCGTAAAGCCGCGCGAAGAAACGTCGCGGCGACGATGGCCTTCTCGTCTTCTTCGCAGACATTGAAGGAAAGGTAATCTCTAGATTCCTCGACAGTTCATGGGTCTTGAAGACCTCAAACAAATATTTCTCTCAAATGCGAAAGAATTAAACGTTCTCAGACATAAAACATTTTCTTTAAATGAAAGAGTGTGAATCTTGAAAGATATCAGACGTAATTATAATTCTTTTTTTCTTCTTAAGTGAAGAATAATGAACCGAGAAGATCCTCAAACGCGTAGAATTTTCGTGTCAAACAAAAGGTGACAACAAACGTGAATTAAGAACTTTTGGATGAAGGATCTTCTTTCGAGTGAAAAATTATTCTCTATATGAAATATTTGTTTCGACGAAGATGGATCTTGAATCCTCAGAAGAATTTTTCTAGATAGAAAACATTCGCAATCTGTTATATCCAAGTGCGCTGTCATCCAATTCAAAGTTTTACAAATTCAGATGTCCAATGTTCTTAAAACTTAAAGTTGATAGCAACAGGAGCTTAAGCGAAGTCTAAAATTTCTCAGAAACCAGAACTTGAAACACTGCAAACTTCCACAACTCAGAGCTTCACAATTTTCGAATGTCGAAGATTTTCGAGTTCAACTCGCTTATCTTTGTCTCTCTCTTTTTCTCTCTCTTTTTCTCGAAATCCTTGATAATTATCCCCCGTTACTTCTTTTCTTCACAAAATTGCATTTTTTTCACCAGAACACAATTCAGTCACAATTAAAATTATGCCGGGAGACTCTCGGGATAGGATTTGTGCACCATCCGGCGTCTCGAGACGGATCGGAGCGTAGCGGACTCGTCAGTTAGAGAATGTTGGTCTCTGCGGGATGGCACGCGCGTCTGAATCACCTGGCTGTCCTCCATTCTCTCACCTCGTGCTGGCTAGGGTGAAGGACCAAGGTAGAGGGGGGGGATACTCCCTTCCACGAAGATGTCTCTCCACCCTCGGCCACCCTCTCTTTCCCATGCGGCGCTGCGCCGCCCCCATGCGAAGCCGCACGTGCGGCCGCATTTGCACGGCCGAAAGTTTCACTTCCTGGACGGATAAAACGCGATACCCTTGCTAGGATATCCTGGTTTAATCTTCGCGATCTCTCAGTCTGCTTTCGAATGCCGAGAGACATTTCTAGGATATGCGCGAATATCGCGATGAGTTACGAGAGACGATCAATTTGCAATTGATTTTTTTCTCTACGCAAATCTTTAACCTACGCAATGATATACTGAAATAATAAAGCTGAGTCTGTCGCATCGATCGAAAATAATTGGGCAGGTTATTCTGTAAGCTTTCGATAGAATAGCAGATGTGATTAGTCCGCTCTCGAAAAGGCAACGAAATAGGGAACTTGAAATTATATTATTTGAATAATAGCAATACCAATCATGCGTTGGTTCGCGGGGAATAGAAATGAGAAAGGGCTTATCGCGAGCGGAAATGAAAGAACAGCGCGCGCAGTTTAGCGTGAGCAGCGAGATTATTGCGGGTTCATTCTGTTCTCAATTTTTTTGCGGTGAAACGACGCGTTCTGATGCGTCCTGATTATCGTTACTCATTGGCATTCGAGGATGTTTCCCCTCCGATTTTTAATCTTCGATTGAAAGCGCGCGATATTGCCTTCTTCGTGCGATCTATTGTTAACGCGAATATTTCATTTTTCAAGCAACGGGAAGCCCGAAAACATATAATTCCAAGTGGCCTAAAGAGATTGAAATTATTCTGACAAATAAGACTTCGATTGCATATTCGAAGCTCTGTGATTTTATTGAATATATAATTTTACTTTTTGTTCGTATTATCGAATATGGATTCTATAGGAAAGTTCGGATAAAAACCGAACATTATCAATATTTATTATTATTTTAACATTCTGCGGTAATATTATTTTATTTTAATCTGGTTTTATTACATCATATTTTCAATATTATCTCAATAATCTTCAATTCAGAGGTCACATTCATCCGTATTAGCATTTTATTTCTGGAAAAATCAAGCAAAATTAAACAGCAATAAAATAAAAGCAATCGCAACAACAGCAACAAGCTCTCGCAAGCTCCCCGCTATTAAACGCGCGGCGGCTAAAAACTTCAGCAACACTCTCCACAGCATCCAGCGTCATCATGGACGTCCTCCCGTCCTCCCAGCCCTCTACGGTTTCCCGGATGATCTGATTGTTTCACGTTTGCGTGAGATTTATCTGCGCGGCGGCGGAGCGGCGGAGGCGGATGCTGGATGCTGGACCAATAGGGTGACGGGCGGAAATCGATGTAATTAGAGAGGAGCCAACCCGGCGAGAGGCCGGGGATGCAAGAGGCATGCGCGCGGTATCACGAGCGCTCGCGCGACCGTTTCGCGTGTATATGGGTGTCTAATTCCCTTTGTACACCGCCTATTGTCGGCATTACGATTATTACGCTCACGCTGATTTCGCTCGTCGTCGTGTAGTCGTCGTCGGGCGACGCGACAATACAATTATCGTTATCCCCGCGGTCAATACGCGACGCCGACGACGAGCGGCGTCGGGACACTGCAGGTGCGCGCCGTTTATCGACGCGTTCTCTGGAGAACGAATTATTATTAATACACTTCTTCTTTTTTTTTTATTAAATGCCAGCGAAATAACGTAGCTTCTCGAACACTTTGGCTTAATCAATGCCCGACGAATGGAATAGAATTGTAGCTGAACTTACGATGTAGGCATTATTCTTAACATTTTGTTAATTTTCCACATTTGGAAATACGTGTGCAGTACAATTATGTTAAAATTTGTATTAGGATATTTATTTCAATTTTAATATCGATACCAATCTGTGAGAAGTTGTAGAATTTGTAGAAGAATGTTACCTCAAGAACATGTCTTTGAAGATTTTTTATTGTTTAAAATGATTCGATTGATGTATAATTGAAAGTCGAAGAGAACAATTGATTATATATTTTGCAATTTATATTTCATTGCAACTTTTCTCCAACTCTAAGGATCATTAATAAAGTAAAATTCAAGAGGTTCGCTATATACATATATTCTAGTTTTCTGAACATAGTATGCTCGATCTCTTTTCGATATTAACGTAACCTTTATAATTGGCATGACACAATTACACAAATGCCACAGCTTACCTAGCAGGCTTTCAAAGAATGGCAAGAAAACATCTCAAAACGAGATATGCCTCCAGAAGCTCGTACAGAGTGCAGGAAATTTAGAGCTTCGCCGAGACCACGTATCTCGTGCGCTTTTATTCCGTTATTTTTGTCGAACGTCATCATTTTTCGATTTAATCAGATTCACACGTGATTTATTCGTAGGAAGCCAGGATGAGACTTCTATCTTAATGGAGCGGAATTTCAGGCTTCAGAAAGAGAGCTGGATAGCCTTGTGCCTGTTTTGTGCGCTATTATGCTCACAAAGTTGCGTGTGGAACACTTGGGGTCCAATCGCGGGTTTCGCTCTGCAAGCCTTTCCATCTTGGAACAAATCTCTCGTGGCTCTACTGTCCGATTGGGGATGCATCAGCTATCTCAGCTGCTGCGTACCTTGCTGCTGGTTTCTGTACAAAAAGGGTGATTATCTCCAGACTTGATATTTCACAAAAAACTACAAATTTTCTAATTCCTAAATTCGTGATGTTTTTTGAATGAAGCTTTATGTGGAAAAATTTATTGCACATTGTATACGTAGAAAATATATCGATAAGATTGGAAACAAAATTAAGAACGTCTTCTAAGGTCTATTGATGTCTCTGCGAATGGCTGCGATTCTGTCTACTCTCGCGACATTCGTGCGTTGCATGTTCTTCAGGGAGAACGTCTTCACGATGTACGTTAATTTTGAATGGGTCGTCGATCGGGATTAAAGAGAATACTTTTGTCACTCAGAACGGTACATACCGCGGCTATCCTGAACGGATTATCGGGAGTGATCCTCGGTCCTGCGATAGCGTTGATCTCCGCGGTCTGGTTTCCACCCGGGAAACGCACCACCGCTACAGGTAAATCATTATCGTTATGATATTATTATATCAATCGGAACAAATCGATATCGCGACAGGTGTATCTTCTGCTTGCAATCAACTGGGAATGGCGATCTCTTATTTAATCGGACCGGCCGTGGTGGAAAGCACAGCTACGTATAATAGGACTTTCTTGGCTAGGAATACGAGTTCCAGTGAAAATGAAGTTTTTGATAAAGCGTATTCTATGGCATTGAGAGCGCAAATTATGTCTCTTATGAGAATTGGTATGTTATTGATGAAGAAAATTAACATCTGAGTTTTACATAATTTTATATACGGCTTTAGAGATTATAAAGACGTTTAATATTATTTATCATAAGAATTGAAATATTGAACATGAATTGTTGGAATTTTATAATTTTATTTTACTAATTATCTTTCAGAATTTGTTGGCCAATTCTTGATTTTGATAGGTGTCCTGTGCTTTTTCCCGAAGAAAACCTACGAATCTGATGCCTTCTCTGAAATTTCTGAGCGTCTCAGTCTCATAGAATCCGTTTTCCGTCTTTTAAAGTAATCTTCATTATTTTTTCAAAATTCGAAATCTGGAATTTAGAAGAAAATGTGTAATAATTTTTTATTTTTTTCATAATAAATCGATGCCGTACATTACTTTTTATTTCACCAGGAAATAACAAGTCCCTTTGGCGCAGAGGATAGCGCGTTGGACTTCTAATCCAAAGGTCGTGGGTTCGATCCCCACAAGGGATGATGATCCTTTTCTTTTAACTTTCTTTTATATTTTTTTTTCTTTATTTTCTATGTATATGCATTAACTAATTAAGAAATTGGTTTTTGCTATTATAAATTTATTTATATGTTCAAAAAATTATGGCTATAATAATCTTACTGATATAAATTAATAATTTGATATAATCTAAAGTAACTTCTCTCTGTTTGCAGGAATAAAAATATGTGGTGTCTCTGCTTAGCTGCTGCTCTTAGTCAAGGAGTAACTGGGCCGTGGCTTGCGATGATAACGTTGACTTTTAGCGCCAGCATTACGCAAGTACAGAGTTCATGCATAATTAATAAATTTTGAGTATAAAATAAACACTAGCAGTGATCTGCGAGAAAACTGATGTATGACATCGATTATAGCGCTATATAAAATTAAAAACCTTAAGTTCTTAAAAACCCATGTTTAATCTAATTCCAACATTTTATTTCGTTTTATATTCTTTATCTCTCAGCCATAATTTTTTTAATAGGAAGAAGCGGATAAATTGGCTTTCTGGACAATCATGCTCAGTGGTGTTTTGAGTTTGATGGTATCACGACTGGCGGATGCATTTCAAAGTCGCCTAAAAATCGCCCTGTACATTCTGTTGGCGACTTCGTCGGCGATGTTTCTCTGGGTGCTCTTGTTGGATGATCGTGTTCTGGCGTTTCACAAGGGCGAGCTGTACACCGCGGTAATCATGGGAATATCCACTAGTTGGTCCAGCCCGGCCCTTTTCCTCGAACTCGCTTCCGAGATCGCATCTCCGGTCTCCGAAGCCATCGTCGGCGGTTACATGATTTTCCTGTCGAACCTCGTTGGTGCGATCTTCTACTTCTCATATTTTTTGCCGTGGATAAGTAAGAGAATACTCATTAATTATTCCTGTTAAAAATTAATCTTATTAATTTAAAAGAAACTTTCTTTTTCTTTTCTTTCCATTTTAGAGTTTTTAATTTTCCATTTCAGATATTTTTCTTCACTATTTTTTTGAGTATTCCTTTTTTTCTATTATAGTTTTTAAGTTCCAAATTATTTTTAGAATTCTTTTACGTAACTGATTTATACTTTTCTCTACTTCTCGCTGTCTAGACGAACACTGGTCGACTTATTGGACATTCGCAAACATTACAATAGCGACGATTCTTGTTACATACGTTAAGGAAGATCACAATCGCACAAGCATGAAATAAGTGCATATATTATTTTTTTATTATTCACAATTGTTGTAACATATAAAAAATTAATTTATTTTAATATATAATGTGAAAAAATCGTTACATGTTCTTTTTTCTTTCTATATCAAAGCGTATATAATTGCATAAACCTAAAACTTATACTTCCATAATTATTGTTAACATTGTTCTTTTAACATTGTATAAAAGTTTATCAGTTTCAAGATTGATAATGACGATCATTGACTGCCTTTAAAAACAAAAGATTTTGTCAATTGAATATTGCAGCGGTAATCTAATAATTTATTGGCTACTACAACTACGTCATATAATTTATCGCATACTGCAATTTAAACAAATTTGACAATATGAGATTATTATTGACGTTTATTAAATATTCTCCATTTTCCTCGAATAGAAAATTGTTTAGTAGACTTTCACACGGTATGTAGTTTATAAATGTATTATTCTCACATTTATCAATTTATTATTATTAAAAAAGTAGATTTTTTAAATCAAGCATATATTTAAAGAGAAAAAACATAAAAATATACATTAATTATATGTGTGTATAATTAATTTATTAGTACATATAATAATTATATGCATATAAGTGTAAATTAAATATTAAGTAAGACGTATATAAAATAGGAGAACTTAAATATATTTGGTTTCAATGAAGAAACCACTTTTCCTGTAATTTTACCGGTAGAATTTTGCCAATAAAACTAAAACTTAACCTTAATTCTAACCTCTGAGGTTAGCACATGTCAACATTATTTCCTACAAAACTAATTCATTTTCGCGCAACCAAACTCTACAAAACTATTGGATTTGTGATAGAAAACAAATTGATGAAACGAACAAGAACGAATGCAAGAATTCAACAGCAAAATACAATTGAAAAAGATAAAAATGATAAGGAAAAACAAATTAAGATCCAAGCTGCTCCAACGGTTTGTTTCATATTTTATATTTTTATAATAATATTAAAGATCTATTAGCTGTTTCGTTTCACAAATACAACAGAGATACAAATATAACAGCTATATTTCTTCATTGATATTTTATGCAAAATTGAAATCACAAATAGGTTAGCACAAATAAATTAGACTCTTTTGTATTTAACATGTAATAGAATTATTGTAATATATTAAGATGTCAAGTAAAATTGATTGACTTTTGATTTAATTTAATTTTCTGTTAGGCAACGTTGGATGAAAAACCAAAACTAAATTTTAAATCTTTACAAAGACCAAATAGTGAGAATGCATTTAATACAATCTCTATTGACATTGCTGCATCTTTCAAAAAATTCAAGAGTGATCAACAAGAATTGGAAACGGAGATCAAAAGTTAGTAATTAGAAGATAATTTCTATAGACAAACTTGTTAATAAGCTGCTTTATAGAGAAAGAGAAGTTAAAACCAACCGTGAGTCCTGGCAAAGGAAAGCTGAGATCTGTCGTAGACTTGCAAATGATGAAAGATGAATTGAGTTCGTTAGAAGATCCTCCTGTGACACCTTGGGAGAAGGAATTATCTTCAGGAAGACTGCAATATAAATTTTTTGATGTTCCATGCGAGGAGTTAGCGCAGAAACTACTAGGTTTGTAGATTAAACATGTTTTATGTTACATGTGATGTTAGAAATCTTCAATTTGTTAAAATATTTAAATACTTATGAAGCACTGTGTAGATTTCCCTTCATTGCTTTATGCTGCTTTGTGTCAATGTGCTCGCAATTTATTAGTTTCTTATTTTTACTATAGGAAAGGTGCTTGTAAGACATCTTGAGAATGGCACTATCCTTAAGGGTAGAATTGTAGAAACCGAAGGATATCTGGGTGCAGTTGATAAGGCATCGCATTCCTATCAAAATAAAGTTACACCTCGCAATCTTCCAATGTACATGCCACCAGGAACTATTTACATTTACATGACGTATGGCATGTACCATTGCTTCAATATTTCTAGTCAAGGTTGGTATAATTTTGCAGTAAAAATTTAATATTTGTTCCCTTATTGTGCATGAAAAATTAATATATGTTTAGTTATATTTGAACAAAATTATTAGAAGTAGTAAAAATTATGAAACTAAAAAAGCAGAAAAATAATTACATATTCTTATAATTCATTAATAACATAAAACGAAGAGTAAAGCAATATCAAGTTAGATACGCAGCTTTTTTAAATTTTATGTTAAAGACTTAAAGTATTTGGAATAAAATAAAAATAAGCCTATTTTTCGGCACATAAATCGAATCTGAAAGAAACAAATTTATTGTAGAATGATCCGTATATTAATTATGACAATACTAAATAACATTTAGAAAGAAATGCGCACGTATTGATCAAAGCAGTAGAACCGCTAGTGGACCTCGAGTACATGGAATTTCTAAGAAACATGCAGCGCAAGAATGACGGAAGAGAAAAACAAATCGCGGGGCGCGTAACGCGCCTAAAGCAATATGAACTTTGCAATAGTCCGTCCAAAATTTGCGACGCGTTTGCGATTGATCAGGATGCTTTTGATCAGAAGCTCGCGTACGCGTGTAATAATTTGTGGCTTGAGCGTCAACCTTTTGTAAGGTCTCTTAGCATAGTAGCCGTACCTCCTAAAGATTCTAAGTCATATAAAAAAACGCGATATTATGTGCTAGGAAGCACTAGTGTTAGCGAAAGAAATTCCGAATACGAAAAATATGCTTATATTGTAATGACTTAAATTTTGTAAATGTGTTAAGTGTGAAAAAATATAAAGCTTTTTGCTTCTTGCTCTAGTTTCTAACAAGTTCAAATCTTGAGTGGCAAATTTTCAATCTTTCTCTTCTACAAAAATATATGTTTACTCTGTTTTCAATTGTTAAAATAACAATTGCAATTAAATTCTTATTAAGAAAAGTGAAGGAATTTTTTCAATATTCAAATCAGTTGCGAATGTCCCTTTACTCTTTCACTTTCTGTCATAATTTATTGCTTAAGAAGCAAATTTGATAATGTTGTGTCCAAAATAGTAGAGCATTATAAATGTTGGTAACAATTTAGAAAAGTAGATTCCCATCTGTAGTTCCAAAGGTCTTCATTTCACTGTTGGTAAGGTCTTAGGTGACGGATGTGCAGTACTGGTGCGAGCTCTCGATCCTTTGGAAGGTGTCGAATGCATGAGTTATCAGCGTAGCATCGCGAAGACGAAGAAAAACGGTTTAAAGCCGCACGAACTGTGCAACGGCCCTTCGAAGCTTTGCATAGCCTATCAACTTAACAAGCAGTACAGCAAATATTCCATTTGTACATGGAAAAGTCTGTGGATCGAAGACGATGGCGCTTCGGAGGATTTTCAGATCATAAAGTCCTCCAGAATCGGAATTGACAGTTGCGGTGCGGAATGGGCCAAGAAACCTTTACGGTATTACATTTATAATAACAAGTCCGTTAGCAAGAGAGACAAAAAAGCAGAAATGGAGATTTCTTAAGAATGAGATTTTTTAAAGTATTATTCGTTCTGTTAGGTTTATTTTTCATATTTTAACATGAAAAGATCTACACATTAATTTTAATAGGATTATTTCTGTATCTAAATTTTGTAATAAAGCAGAAAATTGATATTTATTTGAATGAAACGCCGAAATGCATCACGTACGTTGGAAAATCACAAAATACATAATTTTTTGCTAAAAAGTAATTTATGTCTTTTTTTTTCCTTTTGATAAAACTTTTAATTTATTATATGATAACAATTTAATTTTTTCCGCGTCATGAAAGCTGAAATTTAACACGCTTTTTGCAAGTTTTCTTCTATAAATCACATTTTAAGAAATTATATAAGACTATATATCTTACAAGACTAATAATCTTATAAGATCAACTTGATAAAAAGACATTTAATATATATATAAATCTCTTTTTGTAAGACTTAGCTTATTATTTAAAATCTTAGCTAAAATTTTTTAAAATGTGATTTGAAGGAAATTTGCAAAAGGTGTTTTAAATTCATTAAAACCGTTAAAAATTGTTTTAAATTATATAATTGTAAGTATTTTAAAATATATCAAAATTGTCTGTAATATGAGACAAAAACATCTAACATTCGTAGAAGCTTTGTCACAAATTTTACAAATTTCGTCCATTTCTTTATCATTGAGATATATAAGAAGATATATAAGAGATGTATAAGAAGATATATAAAAAGATGTATAAGAAGATGAATAATTCACAATGGACGGATTCTAGAACTTGAACCGTCTGCAAAAAGTAATGAATTATTATATCAATTTATATGTAACATATAAAAAAAGTATAGAACTTGTGATGTGTGTGAATGATTATAGCATTTTAAAATTTAGAGTTTACAATGTTCAAATTTTACGATTTTGCAACTACAGCTTTTCAATGTCAAATATACACTAATAAGTTTTACATACATTACTGTACTTGGACGTCTCTGACAGCACGGACATATCAAAATCAATTCATCGATCTCTCTCTGGATTACTTTCTTGTAATTGGACAACTGCTCATAATCTGCGTAGAAATGTTGTAGTATCAACGTCATCGGGTTAAAGCTTTCAAGTAAAACTGAAGTGAGCGCTAATCGTTCTTCAAGATACGCTAATCTTTCCGTTTGCGCCTCAGTCAGCGTCGATTTTACTGCCGTCAACATACAATCGTCGTGAAATTTATGGTTGCAATCAAGGTGACAACAGTTTCTTACACACCATTCCATATTGCATATGTTGCACGCATATGCGGAAGAATTCATCTGAAAGAATATAGTTTGAAGATCATTCAAATATTATTTTCATCTTTTTTTTTGAAAATTTTGTAAGTAATCAATTAGTTTTAATTTAAGTGAAAAAAGTTTGTTACTAATACCTGGATCTAAAAGTTTGAATATCTTTTCTTATTAACCATGTGCCTTTGTGGCTTTCTCCTCCTTAAGAATCTGAATGTGCTGAAGTTAAAATTCGAAAATATTGAAAATTGCCCAAGAGCTATGACTAGATATTAAGTATATGTCAACAACTCTAATATTTATACCGTCTTTGAAATTCGTTGAATGTCGTTTTCAAAACTGTTTTGAAACTTGTCTTTGACATAGACATATATATATATATATATATATACATATAAGTATATAGACGTTGAATTTTTCCATCCTCAATGTACAAAAATTTATGATATTTTAATGATGATTAAGTTATGATTTCTTAACACACACACAAAATTAATTAACGCAAAGATTATCTATTGTGATAAAAACATTAACGTGTCACTCGAGAGACTTTAGATATGTGAATGGAGCAGAACTTACGACTCATACTATAAATAATTAAAATAATTGATCGAAGAAATGTTTAAACAATCCCGAAAAACAATTAACATATCTGGAGTAGTATGGTATGTGTATCTAGATGTTCTAAATTATCGGTACTGTTTAAAATCGCAAATGACTAAAAGACGTTAAATCAAAATGAGGAGAGGAAAGGAAATAGAATACATTAAGGAGAGGATCGGGTTCATAAAAAAGGAAGCAAATTAAGGACAGGAAGATAGAATTCTGATAGACATTCCATAAATTGTAATACGCTGGAAAATACGTTGGAAAATTACAAAAAAAAAACGAAATTTTTTGCCATAAAACTACTTGTCTTTTTATTTTTTTTTTTTTTTTTTTGGCAAAGAACTCTGTGTCAATGCTTGATTTATTATATTATAATAATTTAATTATTCCCATGAGAGATAAAAGCTTGAAGCTGAAATTCAAGACACTCGCGAGTTTTCTTCAAATCACATGTTAAGAAATTGTTTATAGCCATAAGACTTCAAATAATATGCTAGGTCTTACAAGATCAATTAAAAAAAAAGAGAGAGAGAGATTTGCAAATATGCTCTATCATACATTTCGTAGATGCTTCATCACGTCCATTCTTTCAGCACGCGTTCGTAATCCTCTTCCTCGATGAACGGCTTGTCTATCGATCTGCAAAAAACAACGAATCGTTATATCGATTCGCATGTGAAAAAAATTATTTTTAAAATATAGAACTTATGATACAATTCTAAAATTCGAAGTTTGCAGTGCTCAAATTTGGCGATTTTGCAATTACAGCTTTTCAATTATATTTAAACATACTCTATCATAAGCTCTCCGCAGTAGAGACATTCCGAAGCAACGAGCTCGTCGATATCGGCCTTGATCTGGTCCCTCGTAGATAAGGATACCGACGTCACCGAGGTGGTGTCCTCTGGCCGATTTGAAATGGCCGTAAGTTGTCGTTGAAGATCCGCTAATCTTGTCCTCTGCTCCATAGATAGCATCGGCGTTAATGCCGCCACCAAACAATCGCTATGAAATTTGTGGCCACAAGGGAATACGTAGAAGGATCTCAAAAGCAATTGCACCTCGCATGTATTGCACGTATCTTTGGCATGCACGTAAGTGCATCTGAAAGAGGCATAGTTTGAAGATCGTTCAAATATTCCGATCTTTTCTTTTTCAATTTGACAAGGGATAAATTATTTTTAATATAATTGAAAGGGATTTGTTATCAATACCTGGTTCTAAAGGCTTGAATATCTTTCCTTATTAATTCTGCTGCCTTTGTGGCTTCCTGCATCTCCTCCTTAAGATCTTGAATGTGTTGGTTGTATTCCTATAAGAAAAGAAAAAAGGAAAATTGATGAAATTCTTATTAATAGAAATAGAGTTTTGTCTTATCCAAAATTCATAATCCATCTGGTAAAATTATACAAATATAATTGTATAAAATTATTAAAAATCCAAATTATAAGTACAGTATTTTTAGAACCAGTGTAAAAAGAGAGAAGATAAACAATCACAGTCGGTACCTGCAAGGAGTTGCAAATAGCTTCCTTGAAGTGATCGATGGTGACAAAATCGGAGAAAAACGGCAGAATATCTTCTATTCTAACTAAATTGCAGTGTTGCACGAACTCCATTGCTTGCTGTATGTCGTCCTTTTCTCGCACAACGTGCTCCGCTACAGCAATATATACACATAATTACAAACTATATCAGTTTTTTTAACTGAATTAATTGAATTTTAACTAAAACAATTCCGGATTACCTATCTTCAGCCACAATTTCTTTCTAAGTTCCTCATCGTGTTCGGGAGGCATGGCGGCGATCTGCCTAGCGAGATCGACGCTGATCGTAAGGGCGAGATCCATGGCGGTACTCCACAAACCCAGTAAGGCCGATAATTGCACGCAGGCTTCAGTCAAATTTACCTCCTGACATAATCGTAACGCGTAATGTACGTCGTAGTGCACCATGCTGATGTCTTGACCTGAAAATAATGATTGTTTTGTAGTGAATAGAATAATTTATAATTAGTACGAATTAGTTTTTCATAAAAAGTGCGAGTTGTTAACCTTGAGAGCTTATGTAGCGCATCACTTCGTCTTGCTTGTAACGCGCGTACAAAGATAGAAGGAAGTTATGAATCGCCTGCTCCTGCGAACCTTGCTTGTATACGCAAAATTCTAGATACTTAATAATTTCTCTCGCCTGTTGAAGAAACAATAAAATTATCCATGAAGTTACTTGCTAGCTAATCAAAGGAAATTGCATAGCATCTCTGTGTGCGATCTGCATTAAATGCTCCTTACATGCTTGTCATCACTGTTGCAAGAGATCAAAGCTGGCAGAAGCTTCGCCGGCTTCAGCGATGACCCTTGCGAGATTAAGACGGCCACGGTGGGTCGCGGCAATTCTTGCAGTAGAATCCCAGCGAATTGATAGAAGAGGTCCTTATTGTTCTGACTCTTGAGTACCCCGAGCGCCTCCAAATAATTATTCTTGTACAGATGCTGGCGAATCACCTCCTCGTAGTTGCAATGCATTATCGTCAAACGTATCAAATTGTCCTTGTCACCGTGACTGGCCATCAGGTCGTATATCGTGCTGCGATTCCTCTTGATGCATTCCTATGTTGAAAGTGCCAAAGTTAGTTCTCAGATTGATATAAATTTTGAAGATAAATCGTTATATATATTAATTTCTAAATAATTTCACAAAAATATAAAAGTTAACGTCTCTTTCACATTTGGGGTTAGTTTCTGCGCGTACCTCTACTTTGGGAATGATGAGGAAGCTATCAAACTGCTTCTGCAATTCTATATAATGTGGATCGTGAAGATAGGATGTGTTGCTGCTGCGCAGAGCTCCCATTTGATTCATGAATAATTCCGTCACCCATATGACGATCATTGTTATTTGTGTCTTGTCGTGCGTTTTTAAGCCATCGAGTTTCTTTAACAATAAAAATTGAAACAAAGTTATATTGAAGCAATATAATTGATTTAAAAAATATTACTAAATTACTCAGTTCTCATAATTCATGCGAATAATTAATTTTGGAATGATTTAACAAAAAATAAAGCAAATAATAAAGCAAATAAAAAATAAAGCAAATAAAGCAAAAAATAAAGCTGCTGAATAATTATATTTATTGATTACTTTGCGCAGAAATGTTTTCAGAGCATCAATTTGCCATTCCTGCAGAAATTTTAACGATATCTCCTCGAAGGACGAATGAGTGTCCGCGTAAATTAACGCACTCTTCTCATATCTGCAGAAAAAATGAACGACAAATTAGATGAAATAAGAATATTTTATACACACACGCACATAAAAACTCACTCTTTGTTCTTGAAAAGCATCTCCGCTTGTTTCACCAGCACTTGGTCAATGTGTGCGGGGTTGTCTTTGCAATACTGCTTGGCCAGTTCAAATTCACCCTTATCGACATATACCTGCAATGAATGAAACAAGTGCCACCGCTATTTTCAAGAAATTTAAATTCTTAATTTAAACTCTTCATTCTCTTTACCTGCCAAACATTCCTATCTTCTTTCGTTACTCTATACTTGAAGACTGCTCGTTCGCTGTAAGCCCAAATTGATCTCGTCGCCGGATCCTTAGTGATGCCGATTAATTTGCCGAGTACCTAAACATCATTAAATCGCGTAATAAATATTTTATATCTCGCGGGAAAATAGCTATAACGTAAAATTAGAAACATGAAATATTAATTATAATTAGAGCGCATTCTTGTAATTTTCTAATTCTGAATGTGATGTTATAATTCAATATATTACAATTTTAATATAATTATATATTGGAAATAAAAAATTAATAATTATCAGAATCATAAAGAACGATTCCCTTTCCCTCACTGAGAAATTTACGTACATCATTGTAAACGTCTTCAAATATCAATTCTTGATTCAAGAGCGACATGCCTTTTACATGATCCGGATACAACAATAACGCGTGAAACTCTGTCAACACGAATGACAACGGTGCTGAAGTAGTTTGTGAAATGTTACTGCTTATAAGACTCATTTCCGGACATGTCAACATCTGTTGATTAATCAGCACGTTATTCGTATCCGGTTTTGCATCAACCTAAAATCAATCATACACTCTTTATTTACAGTTCTTAATAAAAATTCTAAAAAGTTACCATATATGCGATAACAATAATTGTGAATATATATATGGTTCCAGAAAATTGTGCAAGATATTTCAAAAAGTGTAACAAGTGTAGGAATGTAGATTTAGATTTATATTAACATTTTAATCTATAGAGAAACGAAATAAAAACGCAATAATATCATAATTATTACCTGGGCGTATAGAATACCAGTCTCCGTCAACCATCCGAATGATTTTGGTACAGCACCCAAGGATGGATAGTAAAATTGCATTTTTGAATAGGGAAGAGAACTTATCACTTCACTAAAGCTCTCTGCAATAAACATATAGCATGCAATTTGTTTATTGAAATAATAATTCTAATACGCAGTATGTATAAAACGTTTTTTAAAACTTCTACAGATAAAATACTCAGCAACTGATTTTTTTGTAGCAACTGTTGAGAGAACTTGAATGAATAAGAAACACTGAGCCATACGTAATATATTGCTTGAAAATATCGACATCAGATAAAACATTCGCTTACCTTGCGCATTCAGATATCTGTAAAACACCTGCTGCAAAAGAGGCTTTTCTTCGGGATTAGCGATGGCACCGATGTACTGATAAATGCGCATAAGAGTGGTCACAATGATCATATATTTATCACAATTCGGGATTTTGTGGAATTCTATTCCAGTGATTGGAGGCTTGCTATTTTTCCCTATGTCGAATACCTGAAATCACATTGGTAATATCAGAAATACACTATCATTAGAATAGTTAATTTCAAAAAATATTTTTTATATGTTTGCTGCTTTTTAACAACTCCTCTCCTCCTTCCCTCCCTTCCATCCCACCACTACCAAAAATAACAATACTAATGAGAAGGTATTCTCTAATTATTTACCTAAATCTCATTTAGATAATTTGTAGGACATTATATGCAGATAAAAGAGAAATTTAGAACTCACCAATCCTCCTACCTCTTTTGCACCATAAAGAGGCAGGTAATTCGGAAGCTTTGTCAGAAATGAATAGTATGATAATGTAAAAATGTGATAGATAAATGGAATGATGACATAATCTTTTTAGTTACGTATGTAATATTAATACCTGACGCCAATATTGCTCCAAACTCGTATTAAAAATCTTGTCAGTCTCTAATCCAATCTCTGTTTCAAAAATCAGACCTTTGGAAGTGCCCAACAGAATGGAGCCAGAGGTTGTTTCCGAAGTATTGGAAAAGTTCCAGCCTACTGCGGTGATTTCGTGGCCTTTGAACTTGCCAGCCTGCTTGAGTTTTGCCGTCTTCCTATGCAAGTAGAATAATTCTGAAGGAGGATTATCCCCATGTTTCGACACCAGACTTATCAGCAAGTGATGGCCCAATGGATCCAGAAACAAGCCGGATATTTTCATGCTCAGTGCATATTTGGATATGTCAATTTCTGCAACCAAAAACTTAATGCTCTATTTATTAATGAAGTGAGAATACCAAATAAATTAAATGTTTTAGTATAAATGTAACTCTTATTAATCGTATATATGTTAATAGTAAACTTTTATTAATCATGTGTCAAAGAACATAGTTATCTGATCTACCTTCAGTCTTGTCAGGTTGCTTCATGTCGATACGAAGTAGAATGTTGTTGGCCATAGCAATGACAATTGTATTGCTACTAACGACCAAGTAAAGAATTCTGTCCGATGGTAGAAAGTTAACTTTCTGCTTAGTGAATATTGGCCCATCATCTTGCAGCTTCATCTGAATAAAGCCTGCTGTACTCTAGAAAATAATATTACAATTGTAATAAATAATTTGTGTATTGCAGTAATGTCTGATGAAAAACTTACAATATCTGGACGTATCGGTGGTGCAAGCACTTGTTTGGAGCGTTGAGAAGCTTGTTCGTACTGATCAAACATGGATGTCATTTTGACTGCTGTATATAAACCTGTGTGAGCGCAGTACAAGTGTATAATGATATATTGTAATGCAATATAATTTTAAAATAATATATAAAATATCATAATTTAGCAATATCTAAATAATGACGTAAATTTCCATTTTAAATTTATTATTATATTCATTGTTTTATTGTTAACAAAATATAAAAAAATAACAATATATATATATGTATATATTTTACTTACTAATTCTATTTCAAATTAAATGAGACGAAAAAAGAAGCTTAAAAAATTCTTGTATCCTTGAGAAAAAGCAAGGAAATTCTGCATCATTATAAAAGTTTTTAAAAAGACATAGATAATAATTGTTGACGATTGTTGACAATTATTGACACCTTACAGATGATTATGATCTGAAAGTATATTATTATAGAGGGTACAACCCTAACTAATCTGTGCTTTGAACTACGTGGCGGTCTCTTCTGTGAATTTGAGGAAGTTTGAACTCATTGCAACTTCTGATTGGTTACACTAAATTGTAACTAGATGTCTTTTTACAAAAAGATTGCGATTAGAAAGATCTGACAATCAAATGACAAAAAAGTTACGATATTCTTATTGTAAATATTAGAATGTTTTTAAATTATATTGATAGTTTTACAATTGTAGTGTGTTCTAAACATTAAGTAGAAAAATGTTGCAATTAATGACCATTAAACTCATTTTTTCTAGACTTTTTATTTATTAATAAATTATATATATAATAACATATAAATATTAATGAATTATAAATTTGTTATTGTACATTGTACAATATATATTCTTTATGTATTATAATATCTGCAAAGAAAGCAACAATAGTTACATTTTTACATTTTTTTCTAATCAATTTATACATACATGCTAAAATCTGATTCCACGAAGATTGTACAGTTCATATGCAAATTCTTCTTTATGAAATTCATCATACTCCAAACCAATATAATCAATTTCTAGTTTAAAGTGGCCAGTAACATCATCCGCTAAGGTAATGCCAAAAGATTTGACTTCATGCAACGTGATTTCCGTTTGTTCATCCTGCAACCTGCCTTTGCTTGCAAATACAAGTTTGGAGAATGGCACTCTGATATATTGCCAATGGGGTCCACCTCTAGTATGAAGCACATAATTATATACATCATTCCAAGTCAAATCAAATATGCCGCTAGTAGAAATATTAAGATTATAACATCTGCCATCTCCTCTAACACGAAGAGCAAGATGTGTATATGGTGTCCAGTTATGGTAGACTTCACGTCTAAAAGCCTTTCGCTTAGGAACAGAGGTAATATTGCAGTAACCAGCATATTTTATTCTGCCATCTTTTGGCAAACGAGTGTTCAAGTAGCCAGAAAATATACCAGTACCTGTAGAAGACATTTCTAATCTAAAAAAAAGAAGACAAAATCAATGATTGATAAAATATGACAAATATATAGCATAAATATTCAATATTATAACTATTATCATTACATATGTATATTATTTATACTTACTTAGCTGTTGAAAAGCCTTCTTCATAATCACTATCACAGGTAACTATCCATTGATCCAAAGATTTTGGATCACCATTAAACCTCCATACAACATCTATTTCATTTTGCCTATATATAAAAATAGGATCCATTTTTAGTATTTCTTTTACTTCATCCATAAGAATACCAAATTCTTCCTTGAATTGTCGGTATCCTTCACACATTCTGCCAAAAATGCTCAAATTCTGTTCTTGCGGTGGTTTATCATACACTACTTTGTAACCTGATTTTCGATCTCGTTGATAAACGCATGATAGGTTTGCAGTTGTATGCAGTTTTCTTCTGCCAATTGCAAAATTCGTTAATATTCTCCTAAATATTCTCGAAGTCATATTTATTTAAATTATATTCAAATTATATTCGAGGACTAGAGACTGCAGTTCATAATAATTCATTGGTCTGTTATACACACAAGAAATATAAACAGATATAAACCGCTTCTTGCAAAAGTAGAATGCGATACTGTACAGTGCTGTACGTCCTGAAAATGTCAATGTGTAGAGTCGAATAGTTGCATGCATATGTCGGATATAAATGCGAAGAATTTATTTTTTTGCTATTGGATGGTCTGAATCCGGAGTTTCATACTTTCACCGTGCGAGGTCTCTAAAATCAAATTGAAATCAGGGGAAAACTGGCAGCTCTGGGCTACATATGCTTGCTTAGAAATTTTTAACCTGTTCTTAACCTGCCTTAACCGGAATTTATTGAAGTGGGCCACATTGTTTTTTGTGCGTATAATATGTCAGATTTTATAGAGAATCAAATTCAATCATTGCTTACTGGACAAGCATTAGAAAACGATGACATATGTAATGTCTATACTTTAGGGAGTGATACAACAGGTATTTTACAAATTTATACAGTAATTATTGTCATAATGTTCTTACAACCTATACAGCACAAACATTGTAATTACATTGTTGGCTTTTATCTACAAGGTTTTTACTGTATGGGAATGCATTGCATTTTTTTTTATCACAAAGAGAAAGACTTAATATAACTAAATTCATTATTTAGGTGCGAAAGCAGATGCACATGTGCCTATTTGTCAGAAAACGGTGACGTACATAGTAGCTGCTGTTGTTATAAATGATAAAGGTGAAGTATTAATGATACAGGAAGCAAAAGCTTCCTGCTCTGGAAAATGGTACTTGCCAGCTGGTCGAGTGGAAAAGAATGAAAACCTGATAAGTGCTATAAAGAGAGAAGTCTTAGAAGAAACAGGTCTTGTAATAATACCGTCGAGTCTGATATTGGTAGAATGTGCAAATGGCACATGGTTTCGCTTTGTATTTACTGGAGATATAGTTGGTGGTACTCTAAAGACACTTGATCAGGCGAATGAGGAATCTCTACAGGCGTGCTGGATACGAAACATAAATGACTTGCCCTTAAGATCTAATGATATCTTGTATCTCCTAGACAGAGGCAAAAGTTACGTTTCAAATAAAAATATCTCCCAACATCCACAATTGATGCCGATAATTAAACCACATACCAAACTATTGCTGAGATTAATAGTTATATCTAAGAAAAGATCAACGTGAGTAATAAAAAATACTTGATATTTATTAAAACTATAATAGTTTAGCTATAGTATAGTGGCATAAATATGATCTTAGATACAATAATAAATTTTGTCAATAGGAACAAATTACATGTGCTTATATCTGATACTGAACGATGTAACGCACCGATTTGTGAAATTAATCCAAATCGTAATTTATTATCTACTCTGCATAACTTTACGACAGTAAGTATACTTCAAAATTATTTTATATTCACATAAATGCTAGAAAATAAATTTAAAAATTAAACATAATTTGAAAGAACAACAATCATGCTATAAATGTACATTTATGCATTGCTTTAGGAAATATTTGGAAACGATATACTGCAACATAAGCTACACGGTCTGCTGTCTGTAGAATTTAGTGGTGGAGAACAAGGAGGAGATGGCATGTGTTTAACATTACTGGTATCTTTCAAATTGCCTTTAGAAGATATGCCTACAATTGGAAAATATATTTGGCATGAAATTTCCGAAAACGTAGCAGAAGCTCTTACAGCCCGTCTACCGCGAAATATGACTGTCCCTTTAAAGGTCGTACGTTAATTGCATACGAATATTATGCATTCATTCCGTCTGACACAAAAATAAGCAGTATAGGAGACTCAGAATCTTTTACTAAAATGTCCATGACGTTAACAATTTCGTTACCCTAGTCTACCAATGACTATAAGAGATGTTAATATGTAACAAAATAATCATTCCATATATTTATATAACGAAATAAACAGTTATAATATTTATGTAATGTAACAAATAATGACTTTTTTAATGAGACAATTAAAGTATTAATTTTGTAGTAAATGGGATCAAATTATTTTAAAAGTGTTAATCTATTTCTGAGATATTTATATGAAGTATATAAATCATCATATGTTACAAATTGTTAAATAATATATAATAGCACAAAATTAAAATAAAACTGTATATAATTATAACTAAAAAAGTATAGAGGTAAACTAACTTGTTTAAAATATTATTATTAAACATTACTACATAAAAAAGTACTTAGAAATAGGATACATTTTTACATTTCACTAATACAAGCATATCGAAGTTTTTAACAATCATATGCAAGTTATTCAATCAACGTTTACATGAATACAAAAAATCCGTACATAATTTATTGCAATAAATTCTATAATAATAATTAAGAGTTGAGAGTAACCATAAAAAATAAATATAAAAAATAGTGATAAAGTCGTAATGAGCAATTTATCATTATTAGCAACTTGCTACATATAAAATTATGTATAGGAGCTCAAGCCTTAAACTATGCTATTTATTTTTATTACATTTTTACGCATTGTGCTTTTTGTATACTTAAATTATTGTAATAATGATAATAATTTACTTATTTAACTCAAGTCTGATATTATCTATTATAAAGTACGTGTATAAACAAATATAATTGAACAAAAAAATGCAATATGTTAATTATTTATATAAATACAGAATTTCTTGCAAAATATTTTGTTCTTATTGCACTGTCAAACCCTACTTTATTTAATTGAATAACATCACAGATCAGCATAATCATATTTCCACGTAAAATTTGAAAAATAAATTTTTTATATTATAATAACGAGTGCTGCATTTGATGTTCAAAAAATCACCATAGAACTGCAGAGGTATACTACACAAAAGTATACAGATGAAGTAAACTATTTTGTAACTTTGATAGTGAAAAAAATTGTTTTTGCAAGTATATTGAGCAAAGAAATGCTAATGTTAATATTCTTAAAATTATTTAATGTACAGAGTAAATCACACAACCTGTTACACAAGTTAATATCTATTAATCAAGAACTAAAGAAACTTTTATATGATGGCTTACAAACATACATAATTGAATAAAAAGCTTAAAATGATATTAATATTAAAAAACCAGATTTTTCCTTAAAAATTTGATGTTATCAATAAAATGTATTCTTTTCTATCATTTAGATGCCATTAAGAATTTTTTTCAATGCTTTAACTAGCTATTACAATGATGCAATTTCATTAATTTAAGATATAAAAAAAATTCCATTGACTTGTAACAGATTGTGTATAAGTAACTTACCACATGCTCTCTAAAATATATATAATAATCTTATACAATTTCAAATAGAACTAGATGCTAATCTTCCCATGGTATTTGTTACAGTGTCTTCTGTACTTTCATTTTTTATAGGAACCGTATTACTAGTATTATGCATAGATTTAATCTCATCATTGAGCGTTAAAGACACATTGTTTAAATAATTTGAAGTAGTATTATTAATATCCATACCAGCATGCAGTATATGCTTTTGATCATCTTCGCAATCAGTTGTGTTTATATCTATAGGATGTTTCTTCATATGAGTCGTCAAATTACCACTATGATAGAATTCTTTCCCACAGATTTTACATTGAAATGGTTTAATCCCAGAATGTATCCTCTCATGTATCGATAAGTTACCACTATGTCTAAATTCTTTACTACACACGCTACATTTATAAGGTTTCACACCTGAATGAGTTCTTAAGTGAGTTGAGAGATTTCCACTATGGCTAAACATTTTTCCACATATTTGGCAACCATATGGACGTTCACCGGAATGAGTTCTCATATGAATAGCCAAGTTTCCACTGTGCGTAAAACATTTCTCACATTGACTACACTTGTACGGCCTTTCCCCATTATGAGTTCTCATATGTATGAATAAATTACTTTTATGTCCAAATTCTTTGAAACATATCTCACATTGACATTTCAATTTTTTCCCTGTACCAGATTCTGTACCAGAACTTTTGGATGGTCTTCCAAGGCGATTGTTTTTTACGGAAGTTGATGACTGGGCTGGCAATGCCTGATCGATACTTTCTCCATTTGGCAAATCTTGTGGTAATTGTTTGTTCTCTTGCGTCATGATAATGTTATTTGTATTCTGATAACACTGATTACTTGTTGACATTTGATTATTGCCATCCTCTTGATTAATTTGATAGAATATACTATTTTGTACATAATCTTTCATATATGAAAAGGTCCCAGTTTCCTGAAAAGTAATATGCAAAATTAGATACAGTGATAAGTAAAGTATTACTTACATAACAATGTTTAGATACTTCTGTCTGGAACATAGCCTGTTGATTATGCATTTCATTTTTTGTGGGCATCTCACTTGATAACTGCATTTGCTCCCAAAAATGACGATGTTTGTACTCGACATCTTGATTGATAAAAATAGGATATATGGAATTGTCCGAAGTATTAATTCTGTTACATGTGTTCACATCTTCTACAGTTGAATATTCATGCTTTATCTGTATAGGACTGAACATCTGTAAATGGTTATAAATTTACAATAGTGATTGTTGAAAAATAACAGTACATCTCTGTATCAGTACATTACAGAAAAATATTGTACACACGGTTACAGGAATGCCTTAACACATGAACTTGCACGAGTGTGAATTTCACAAGCCAATTCAAATGTGCTTTGACACTCGTTGACAAATTCATACGTTAAGGCATTCCTGTGACCGTGTGTACAATAATCATAATAAGTTTTCTTTTAATAACAATTGATTTTTCTTAATGCACTAATAATATATACAATGTATGCACTAACATTTTCATTTAAAGGATGTCAACAAGGATCTCAGCCAAAAAACTATCAGTTGCAAATATTTGTAGCGCCGGTAAAATTCAGTAATAATAGTGTCATAATTGACACACACTCTTCACCATACGTAATACTTCTACAAAAAAACTATTTGTGTGTTCACATTACTTAATAACAGAAATTTTCAACCTTTTTATTCCAAAGTCATTTTTGTTAAGCCAGCATCAGCTATGCATTAAAGATTCTCAATCTCAAATCTCAATCTTTAACGCGTACTGTGATATAGGCTTTTTTATCAGTCATAAAACCGCTTAAAATTAATGACACAGCATAAAATAGACTAAGCATTCCTATTCCTTTAACACAACCTTACTTTAGCAAAAAATTAAAATCGGAAGATAATAGTTTATAATTGAAAAAAGAGATGTAATTTATAAGCGTTAAATTATCGTATATAAAGTTTCCTCATCTAAGTTAGGTTTTTTATCTATGACTTTATGCTCTAGAGATTTTTTAAAATAATTTTCACTGCATTGGCGTCCTGAATTTAATGTGACTAGTTTCCACAGTTAAGATAAAGATGGAGCTTGTATCTGTTGTCCCGGTTAGAACACTTGTCAACATCGAAAACAAATCGAAATGGTGATCTGTGTTTATTGTCAAGAGGCTCCTGTCACATTTCCGTCCTAATTCACTCGCGATTATGTCGATCAGACCGTTATGGCCCGATTTACGTCCGCGAGCGACCGATCCATTATGGTTCAACGCCGATCGGCCGTGTGACGACGAGAATGAAGTCACCACTCTTGAAAACGAACATGCGGCATGGGTAAATAAGAATGTGAACACATGAATAATTTAATAATACACGTGTCGTTACATCTTTTTTGTTTTGACAGAAAGAAAAAATTCTCTCGACGCGTTCCGATCACGTTCCAATCGGAAAATTAGTGAGTGATGTAAGTTAACCTAATTGTTATTGTTCACTGAGTATTTCATATTTTTACAATTATTTAAAATTGTTTGTTATTGATATACATAAATTTCTTTGCTCCTAATATTTCCGATTAAAAATTCTGATTAAAAGAGAAGTGGATAGCATAATTATTAGTTCTTATTTTTATTTTTGCAATAGTTTCATGGAAGCAATAACTAAACTTTACACATAAATGAATATGTATCACACATAAATGCAGAGAAATTATTTTTTTATATAAATAGTCCTGAATCTAGATAGTTTAAATTTTAATTAAAAAATATAAATATCAATAGAAATTTTTTTTAATGTGTAAATACATTTTTTGTTATAAAGTTCTTTTCCACTTTATTCACACTTTTTACGTTTCTTTTTTAAAATTCTTAATCACTTGTGTGTGAGTGTAAGTGTATATATAAGACTACAATGTGTAAGCTCTATGGGTCTGCTAAGCCCAAATGATTGTGTGGTTTATATCCACAGTCATCCTTGCGGAAATATCAATGGAAATTTTTTTTTATTGAAAGAAATATAGAAAAGATGAATGGAAAAATTTATCCTGACAAATCGTATCACCGTGCGACTTCAACAATGCATAATGTTATGATATGATGGTACTCATATTTCTTATCATCAATCGGCAATGAAATGCTACATTCCAATTGTGTGTTTTATCAAGATACTAATATATAACATAATAATATAACACTAATATATTTCAACATAATATTGTTAAGTCTGAAATATACTTTTACAAAATTAATATAAAAAAAACAGGCAGAATTTACTTCTTTAAATGCAATCATATTAACTGTTAAAATGTGTGAAGAGATATTGCTTTCAAAATAGAATACATAATTGTGCTTGCATATTCATAACAAAGTTGAAAAAGAGTTGTATTTGATAAAAATGTGAACTTACGTTTTATAAATTATGCGTCGTGTATGACATACATTAATGATGCGGGGTTTATTAATGGATTTTTTGCACCCATGAAAAATTTAGTACAGAGGTTCGGAAGGCGAGGAAGAGGAGGAGGAGGAAGAGGAAGGCGAAGCCGAAGAGGAAGACGAATCGGACACCCACGAGGAAGAGGAGGAGGAGCTCGATGAGATCGATATGGAAGTTAGTTATTCCCATCATCCGCAGAGATCCAGCCCGACGGACACGGTGACCGCTCCCGTGTCCATCAGGATGGTCAACGCAACGAACTTGACCTCCCGTTATCATTCCTAATTTCCACGTGTTCATTCGGAAGTGTCTGATTGTGAGTTTTACATACTTGTACAGCATTATCATTGTGATTATTTTAGAATTCTATTGTAAATTATTCATAAGCTTATTAGAGTCATGTCAATCGGCGGTATTAGTATGTGAAAAATAAAAATCTATCCTTTTCCATTTCTAATTCTCTTATTTTTTTTTATGATGAGGATACTTTTTCCCAAACTCATTTCTATCGTGACGAAGCTCGCCGATTCCGAATTGTTCAACGTACAGTCAGCATTCCGAAATCGAAACTGTTGCGCGCTCGCTCGTTCGCGCTTCGGCTTAGGTCAAGAACCGGACGCGCAGCTTACCCGTCGTCGATCCTAAGCAGTGCAAATTCCATCGTGACGTTAGAAATTGCATGGCCAGCGAATTCGACATCGCGGTAGACGCAGGTCTCCGAGTCGTCTCACCGGGCCGGATCGAAGCCTCCTCTCTCGCAGGCTGGAAACACTCGACGGAGGACTGCTGCTAGTGGGGACAGTAATGTCTTCATTCTTACGTCGAGAGTCTCTCTTCCGAAGAGGAGAGCGACTCGCGCTTCATCCGGAGCGGTCGAACAAAAGCCGCCCGGCCTTCCCCCTTTCTTTCGCGATTCCGTCTTTCTCTTCTTTCTCTTTCTTCGGAACAGGCCGGTGAAATCGGTACCTCGCCTCGCTCGCTCTTCTTCTTTCTTTCGCGAAGGGCCGCGGAACCACGTTGTGTTCGATCGGGACACTCTCGGTACGCTCCCCGTGTATCCATCTATACTAGGTGTAAGTACACGCGAGAATGTATTATATATCTTTATACAAGGTGTCCAGAAACAACACGCATTTGAAATTACTCCACTGCAGAAGAAAGAAAACCGTCTGTATTTTTTTTTTTCCAGTCCAAGCTATAGTTCCTCTAATTTTAGCCGATAATGCGATCGAACAATTGTATGCTAATTTACATTAGATAAAAGACAATCGTACGTGTAGACGGCAGATTGTTCAAATACACCTTTCGACTGTGGCAAGACTTCAGATGCTTCGGTGCGAAAATTATTGTTGAATAAAAAATCCCAGCGGTTACTTTTGTCATTTAGATGTCTATCATTTTTTTTCCACTGCGGTATTTTTAGACACGCGTCGTATACGCCACTCGCAGATGTGAATAAGAGATATTCAAATACATCTTATAATTGGCTAGAAATACTTCCCGCACAGAAATCGCTGTTTAGAATAAGAAATCGCGTGTACACTTTGGTTGCTTCGATTTCCATGATTTTTTTTCCGCCGCTGTATTTTTAGGTGCGACATGCGAACATTTTATGTACATGTGTTCTTTTTACACATATGTACTTACATACGCGCTATTAGTGTGCGTGCGTTTGCGCACATACGTACATATATACATATGCTATTTTACGCATGCACATTTACATACAAGAATATATATATATATATTTATTTATTTATTTATATATATTTATATTTATATGTATTTATATGTATATGTATATGTATATACATACACACGCGCCAGCTCTCCCAGCATATAACTGAGGTAAAGCCAGGTTGGTGCCCCCGCTAAGGTGAACGAACGGATACGCTCAGGCAAAAGCGAACCTGTGCCTCCTCCTCCATTGGCATCACCACCTTCTCCTCCTCTAGCAACGACGTCCTCCTCCCCCACCTCCTCCTCCTCGCCGGGCAAAGAGAGTCATCGCGGACTCTTTTTAGATGAAAAATTACAAAAATTATTCGCGGTTAAAATTTTGCGATCTTCAGGCGTATCGATTGCTTGTTCGTTTGCATATTAAATTGCTCAAGCGACATGATATCGATCTATTATATTCGGCATACTCGTGTCGAGTCGCATGATGAAGTCTCGCATCAGTAATTCAAATAATTCAATGTGATTGCGTTGCTCCGACGCATTTCTATGTTTCCTACGTGCAATTAAATTTAATCGTCTCGCTCAACTAACTTGTTTATTATTATAATTATACGATTACTTTGTCTTATGTAATTAAGAAAATTGATGCTATTTGACAGAGAAAAACTAAATAACATTATTAAAATACGTTCATAATACTTATGCAATTCGAAAACATTAACTTACTCGCAATACAATATTTCTCTTATTTACTCGCTCTATTGTTTTTGTAAGTTAATATTGCAAATATATAATAAAAGTTTAGATATATTTTTACAAGTAAACATTTCGGAATCCATTCATGTGAAACATTTGAATATTCTACATAAATGTTATATTTTCGATGATTCCTGTAAGTAAATAAAAAGCAACTTTTTCGCGGCGCCTACAGCGTTCAAAAATTGAGGTTCGATCGCGCCACGTGAAAATCGATTGTTACGCTCTACTGATTCCTCTCACGCAGAATGATGGTTGGTTTCAAGGGGCAGACCTCTTGGCCACTAATGCCGAGTTAAGCACCCTAACCTGCCTCAAAAGGTGCTGCGCGACGTAAGAGATAATAAATCCCGGTTGACTCTTGCAAGCAGTAGCAGCGATGGGACGTTACTCGCTGAAGAGACGAGAGAGCCAAGAGATCGTCGCGACTGAGATCGAAAGACTGATTGTGAGAATAAACTGCGCTTATTAAGCTCTATCTTCTATGAAATGTATATATGGCGTCCGTGATAGACGCATTTGGTACGTATATATGTTCAGAAGTTAAAATATTGAGATAGATTTCGAGGTGCGATCAATTAAAAAAGAAAGTTCTAGCCAATTATAATTTATGAGTGCAAACAGATGACAAGATACGTAAAATCATTTTTTTTCCGCAATGTAATTGATGTAATAAAAAGATATCGCGGTAGATGGAAGAAAGTTGGAAGAGTAAAGAGGAAGAAAAGACGACGAGTTTAGAAGAGCGGATGATCAAGAGTGAGGGAAGTGAGAGGAGAGGGAGATAGGAAGAGCAGCGAACGAGAAGGTGTGCGAGGAAAGGATAGAGAAAAGTATAGGAAGAATCGATCTTTCGTATTACAAGAGAGCGAAAAGTACTATCTCCGAAGAAGCGAGAGAGAAAGAACGTGAGAGGATCGACTGTGCATCGTAGCGAGAGAAAGACGCGGAGAGAAAGGTTATGTGAGATGATCGAGAAAAGTACATTAAGCGAATTATGAATAATTATAGAAGGTTAGAAATCAAACAAGCAACTAGTGGCCTCGACAGTATGTTGCCGATTTCGATTACGTAACTTGCGGTGAAGAAAGCAAAATAAACGGACGGGTCTTGAATGAAAAGGAAAGAACGCAAGCGCGACGAGAAGGGGAAATCGGATCACGGCGTTCAATAATTAATCTGAATATGGAAATATCCGGGATTGCATATCTTTTGCTTATTATATTATACATACATTTGCATAAGAATCGTATAATTAAATCTATATATTCGATTTAATTATTGAAGTTAACTAAAACACGGAAAATAATTCGCTTTTTATTAATTAGTTTATATCTTTCTATTAAATATCCTTAAATTTTTTTATCGGTAATAAGATTTTCTCAAAGTAATCATTTTTTTAATAATTGATGTGCATGTTACATGTAACAGCTAGATTTTTTTCGTGAAACGTAAAATGCTAACAGCATTAATAACACTTTATGAAGAATAGTTCTAAGGTAAATTTTCTGCTTTTTTGTTGCAAGAAGTTTTTTAATTATTCTTAGCATCACTGCACGTCGACGGTGCTATACATTAATATGTTCGAAAAAGTATGGAGAGAGCGGCAATCGATATTTTTAAATTGTATTATTTTAAAAATATCTAATTAATATTTAAAACTGTAAAAGGAGAGAAAAGAAAGGAGGGGGAGAGGGGGAGAGAGATAGAGAGAGAACTCTCGATGGTGTGACGACGACTGACGCGCGAGGCGGTGCACGAGAAACGAGAGCGGTATTCTCCGTCGCGGCAGCGCGACGGAGAACGGCGATTGGCTGGCCCGCACGCGACAAGGACACCGCAAGCCGGGTGCGAGCAGGAAGCGGCGGCGTGAGCGAGAAGCCGGCGTCGTCGAAGTGCCGACCGTTCAGTCGGACGCGCGATTACAGGCACGTGAGACGTGTGCATGGATTCTCTCCTTCATCTTTCTGCCAGAGTACGTATACAGTGACCACGTGCCGGCGAGAACCGTGAAGCGCGACAACGAAAACGATAGATCAACCGCTGCTCGAAGCATGCGCCGTGCACCGAGAGTGTGCCGACACTTCGACGAGATCGATCTTTTGCGACCCTCCGGGACGATAGTTCGCGTGTGTCGCGCGTGACGGTCCTTCACCTCCGCGATGTGGATGCCGGTCAGTACGACGAATTAGAAGACTAGGTATTTTTTTCTCATCTGGGTGTGGATGGTGCGTGCATTTGTCAGTTGGTGGATTTGTCACTTGAAGTGAGTTGCGATCCCCGGAGTTTCCGGCGACTTCCCGGTTGTCACTGCTGCTGCTGCTGCTGCTGCATGTGTATTCGACGGAAAGGGACCACTTCTGGAATAGAGCCTCGTCTAGATGTCAAGAGGAAGCGCATTTTCGCACGGTGAGTGAATGTTCAGTATGTTTTCTTTAATAATGAAAAAGCGAACGAGAAGAGATGTCGCGCTTCGCACCAAGTTGTCAACTCGCGCTTCTCGCGGTTTTCTCTTTTTTCGTCCGCGTGCGCGCCAACGAGAATAGTAGATAGTGTTACCGGGAGATGGATCATGCTTGCGACATCCATCCGGAGGGGAAGGTAGAGAGAGGGAGAGAGAGAGAGGAGAGAAGGTGGAGGAGGATGGAGGACGGTGTTAGGTTTCATTTCTCATTTACGGTTTTCGCGGTAACTCAAAAATCATTAAGCGGACAAATCGAAAAGTCATCGAAGCATCATCGCGCTGTTAGGCGAAACCGGTGAAATCGGGGCGAAGAGGGATCATTGACCCTGCGAATCTAGACCGACTAAGACGATGGCGTGGCGTTGAAAGTTTTGGCCGAAAGTCGCGGAAAAAGCAGGCGTCGACCCGATTTTTCGGCAATCCTTCGCAAATTCGATGCGAATGAGTCGCTCTTGTTACTCAACCTATTCGCGGGGAAAAATGAATTAATACATTTGCAAATTCTTTGCAAATGTTACTACAATAAGCAAGACGAGCTATCGCTCACGTATTTGAAAATTTATTTAATATGTGTTCGACACTTTACAATATTTCCTCCTTTTTACACTGCGAAATGCGGAGACGGCGCGCAGCAACTATCGTTTTACAATTTACGTGGCTTATAGTGATTTACTGTCTAACGGTGTTGCCGATAAAGTTTTAATTATTCGAGCGTGTGCGGCCGTGAGTTATCACGGAGCAGGAGAAAGTCGAGGAGCTGAAATTAAAGTTGATTCCGCGTTCAGTCCATCGCCGCGAGCTCGCACGCCTGAATGCTCTAAATGTACGACGGTTGCAACCGCGTATTTACGGAACACCGCGGAAATCATAACTTCGAAGAAACGCGTGCATCATAACACGCGTGTATCACAGAGAAAGTTTCTCGCGCGGCGGATCATAGCTGCGCGTCGCTCGCCTTATTTCGCAGAAAAGTACACAAAATTGTTTTGTGTAAACAAATATTTCGTGAAGCTCGCACGAAGCATAATCCCAACAAATTCAGATGTCAACTGATGTTAAATGATTAGTGATAACAGAGCTGCTATCAAAAGTCTTTAGATCAGCTGTTTATTCTACGATATTTTTTATTCAAATAAAAATCATGGAAACTGTTAATTTGTGATTTTTAAAGTCGTAATTTTTTCGATTTTTGTCTTTCTAGTGATTTCTATTCAGTACTTTGATGCTAAATTTGGAGAGCATATAAAAAATAGCTCCTTTTATCGTCAGTTGCGGTGGAATTTAAGAAATTTGAGTTTTTCCATTATTTTAATGATGTTTCAAGAATGTTCTATGCGAGTCATTTCTTAATCGTCTGTTAGCGATAGACATCAAAAATAGATCTTTCGTTCGTTCAAATTATCGCGTAAAATATCGTGAATCGTAAATTTTGATACGTTAAATTTCTTTACCAGTTTTTACAGTCCTACGTTCGATGTTTGACGAACCTTTTTCACGAAATATCTTTCGTCGAAATTATTCTTGGATTTCAACCATTTGTCGTTTTTTTTTATCTTTTCTGACGTCTCTAAATCTTATAAATCATTGAAAAAAACTTGTATGCACGTACGAGATAGATAATCGTTTGCATAAACTTATTTCATACATTTGCATCGCATTTTTATCGAGTTAAAGACAGAACTGACGTTACATGATTCCTTTTACGCTGACCTTTCTTTTTTTTCTATTCAACATATTTAGGAGAAAATGTGAGAAAATGGGACGTTGTATTTCATTCGTGAACAGTCTACGAGAGAAATAGAGAAAATAACAAAGAGAAAGAGATAGAAATAGAGAAAGGAAAATAGGATTACGTTTACACGTAAATTATAACACAGTTTACGTCTACACATAGATAATATAAACTATGTCTAGCATACTATCGCAGACAATGAGTAATTTATGGAATAGCATTTGTGATATTTTTACATAATATTTTTTATCAAACTAATATTTTTTTCATCTTTTGAGTACAAATATTGAAGCCAATTTGACAACAATAAACCTAAAATAACGATTATTAATTAATATAGTGAATTAAATGTTTGTGAAAAATGCAGAAGACACTTTTTGAATGAGAAATTCAGAGATACTTGCAACAATTTACATAATTTATATTATTTACATGAAAGAAGCTTGTGTAAACATCACATAAACAATTCACATAGACGTAATCGTGAAATCTACGGTGCGAGCCGTGGGGAAAGGCAGAAAAAGAAGAGAAAAAATGTCGAAAAAGAAAAAGAAGGGAGCGGAGTGCGAGATTTTTCCACACTGCTGGATAAAAAGCGCCGTAATTGCAGGGAGGATTATCACGCTATTGTTAGGTCCAGGTTCGCGATAGAGAGCAAGCGAATGGGTAATGCTGTACTCGCTGTTTGCGCGGCCCTGCGGGGTCTCTGACCGCCCGTCCGCGCCTCTCAACTCGGCTCGCTTGTTGTCCACACTGTCGCGGCCTACCTATGGCTCGCGCGCGGCTCAAGTCAGGTCTTTCTCCTCTCTCCCTCACCGTTTTCCTTTTCTCTCCTCTCCCGTTTTTGACTTTCCACAAACGAGCCCGCGGTGTCCGCGGCCGTATAAAAATTTAATCATTACGGAGAGAAATAATGATAGCTCATTATTAACATCAATGGAGACACTCAATTCTACAAGCTCAACAAATAATTTAACGTCTCGTAATACTTTCTTTTTACTTATGCAACGAAGCTGTATTTGCTTCGATGAACGGAATTATATATACATGTAGCTGTTTTTTTATAATACTCTTTTCAAATGCGGATTAGAAAATATTTTTCTTTTGATTGTAGCGGTGTAAATCTTACAAGTTTTGGGGAAAGATAAGATAACGCGAAACGAAAGGAAAACTTTTGAATGCAGTGAATCCCTATATTTCTAAAATTTGTTATTTGAAAATCACGATATTTAATTCTAAACATATAGCGCACATAGAAGGTCATATAGCGAAGGCATCTGTATTGTGCAAGCATTTCATAGAAAAAATCTTGTTTCTTTAAAGCAATTGCAAAAAAAAAAATAATTAGAAAACTAAATTGATTTGTTGTATAAGATTAATGCAAACAAGCAAGCAGATTAATTTTTATTATATTATAATTTATGTGTAGAACGATATTATTATTTTACACTAAGCAGTTACGATCATTGCCATTTCGAATTAAATGACATAAGTCACATAATAACAAAATATTTCATTGATGTACGAATCACAATAGTTGATTCTACCTTTACGACATGGAATCATTAACGGTAATAACTTTAATACAGCAAAGCTATTTATTTCAAGTGTTGAGACTGGAGTCTCTCTCGTGCACTCCGTAATTTCAGAAAATTACCAATTAGCGCGAGCGCGTCGTGTTCCGCGGTATATGTGTAATCAGACTGCGTTTCCTTTTTACATAAACAATTGATCGACCGCGTGCAAGTATCATCGATTACTGGGCGCGGTCGACTACGTAGCGGATTTTTCTACTTGTCTGACAATTCGCGGTATCTACTACTAGTCGAATTATACCTACATGATACTATATGCGGACAATGATCGTAGAGAGAGAGAGAGAGAGAGAGAGAGAGAGAGAGAGAGAGAGAGAGAGAGAGAGAGAGAGAGAGAAAGAAGGAGAGAGATGTACTTTCCCAATAAGAATGTCCTACCCGAGAAAACTAGAGAAGCTTAATTTTTTCACAGTTTTAATCCTCCGAGACTAAATCTTTTTCACATAAAAGTCGTCTTTGGTAATTAATTTTGCAATTTTGGATATAAAAATTATATAAAAATTTTGTTCAGTATATTATTTAATATAAAATTTTTTTTAACAGATACAAATTTAGTAATTCGATTTAAGTATTGCATGTTATATAATCATTTTGTATATTTGAAAAACTTTATCAACCGTCTCAAAAATAATCGCGATATAACGATGATGTAATACAACAATTACATTGATGGTCAGAGTGACCGCGAGAAAACTTTGAATCGCAACTTTTCTCATCATCTGCAAAATCTTACGGACACCCGGTATTTTGCGATGTAACACGCGCACGTACACCGAGACGCACGGCTCGTATACGTGAACGAACGCACACGATGTTGAAGCCAGTGAACCGAGCATTATAGTGCCCTGCAAGAAACGCCGGCTTGGTGCATTGACCGCGGTTGACCACACGTCATCGAATGAGTGACGTCACACGAGCTTTACTACTCGAAAGCTACGTCACGGTTGGCTGCATTGCAAAGATGCGATTTATCAATACCTTGAATCTCTTAAATTGTTGATTTCCGAAGCGTTTTTTTCCATCTCTCATACATGATCGGCCCAATAATGGTTCATAATCGGATGGTAAGAACCTAAGAATGGCAAACAGTAATGGCTTAGTAATTGCGATCAATATTCAACTTAAGACTGTTTACTGATATATTTTAAATTTAAATTTTTTATAGTAAAAAAATATTTAATTTTTAATTGTTTCTATTAATTTTGAAGCGTTATGATGTTAAAACTACCGGAAATATTTCTCGTAACATTTAACGATAAATTTGTAAGAGAATCATGCGTAACTAATCGCTTACCTTGCGATTTAAGCTGTATAAAAGCACACGTTTGATAAAGACCTCTAACATTTCTAACAGTCCTAATATTTACCACAAAAAAACAATAAAATTTATAAAATAAATGATGATAAAAATTTACTTTTAAATGTTTGATCTAGTTTTATTAAATTTTATTTTTTATTAAACTTTATGATTTTATTATGTTGAATATAGCAATTCTTATTAAATTTTTAATTACAGTTTAGTTATATAAATGAGTTGTATAAAACTTAAAAAAGAAATCTACTGTATCATTTATTTACTTTCTTAAAAATTTTATACAAGACCTCTAACATTTCTAAC